TATGAATAAGTTATTGCTATTAATTTCATTGATATTCTGGCAATTTCAAAATGTCCAAAGTGCCGCTATTCCAAATTTGAATTTAAACGAACTTGAAAAACGTGAAACTGAGGGTACGGTCACGGAGGTTTTAATCCTTACCACAACCCTAACATCTGATACCCAAGAAACTGAAAGTACGGTCACTGAAGTTTTAATCCTTACCACAACCCTTACATCTGATACCCGTGAAGCAGAAGTCGTTAACTCAACCGCAACACCTTCCTCGTCAGAACAATTTACCAGAGAAACTTCCTATCCAGAACAAGTTTCCACATCAACTTCCTCTCCAGAACAAGTTACCACATCAATTTTCTCTCCAGAACAAGTTTCCACATCAACTTCCTCTCCAGAGCAAGTTACCACATTAATTTTCTCTCCAGAACAAGTTTCCACATCAACTTCCTCTCCAGAACAAGTTACCACATCACTTTTCTCTCCAGAACAAGTTTCCACATCAACTTCCTCTCCAGAACAAGTTACCACATCACTTTTCTCTCCAGAACAAGTTTCCACATCAACTTCCTCTCCAGAACAAGTTACCACATCAATTTCCTCTCCAGAACAAGTTACCACATCAACTTCGTCTCCAGAACCAACCATTTCCACACCCACAACAATAGCCTACGAAGAACCAATCGCAACGGCAATCAACGTAGTCAGAGGGGTTGAAACCTTCCAAGAAACAGAGATTATCCTTAGCGACACCGGAATCCTTTCACTCGTTGACGTTGTGAATGTAGTCATCGAATCTGCTTCGATTGAGAGTGGGACTTCATTGTTTTATACCCAATCATTCCTGGCCGATGATGAAGCTATTAGTGTTCAATTATCCGATGTTGTGAATGAAGGGTTGATTTGGTTGGATATTAGAACTTCTCCACAATTGGATGGTATTTTGTTTAAGAGAAGAGACCAAAACTTGAAGAAGAGGGATGATGAGAATGTTGTTATGTTGACTAATCTTGAGAATAAT